CCAGGACCCTGCCAGCCAAGCCCTCTGTGGCCCTTCCCCTGTCATTGCTCTCCCTACGGCTCAGGCAGGCCCAGGCAGGTCAGATGACAACCCAACCTCACTAGCCATCTGGCCTGCTGGGCTGGAGCTACCCCAGCCAGCTCAGCTGAATGTGTGTCCCTGTGCCCAGAACTGAGCACTATGCCAGGGACACTGTAGGTAGTAACGGGGACTGGGTTTGATTCATTCATTCACTCCATTCACTTGTCCATCTGCTCACTGACTTAATGACAATTATGATAGAGCAATACATGGGATCTTAATGTTCATGGAAAATTTGTATTATCAAAAACTATGCTGGGGCCGGCAGGTGGCATGGTGGTTAAAGGTGCTGGACTCCCACATGGCTGACCGTGGTTCGAGTCCCAGACCTGGTGGCTTGCCTTCTCACTTTCCCTCTTTCTCTGTCTCTCTCTGATCAAACTGGAAAATAATAATAAATAAAATTAAATAAAATCATTTATTAAAAAAAAACTGTGCATGGATTTCCAAATTTTTTTCCAACGAAATAAACCCATACTTTTATTTCCATTTTCCTTGAACTTTTTGAAGTCCTCTTGTACTGTGTACACTTTCCGAGGGTCAGGCCAAGGACTGGGCACTTTGGGGAATTCTCTCAATTCCTTGTAGTAAGGTAATGACTATTACGGTAGTCATTTCACAGACGGGGAAATCGAGGCTAGAAGAAGGCAGTGACTTGTTCAAAGGCACAAAGCCAGAGAGAGAGCAGACTTAGAATCCAGGTCATCCAGCCCAAATTCCCTTCCCTAGCCACCGCTACGCCCTGCCTCACCCACGTTCACATACATGTGTGCGCGCACACACACACACGTGCTCTCTGCTCTCCCAACCCCTCCAGTCAAACACTGTGGTCTCTCGCCTCTCTGGCCTCAGCTCCCTCATCAGGAAAATGGTGAGAGCCAGCATGGGGGTGGCCAGACATCCCTGGTCCTGAGCAGGGATGCCCCTGAGGCTGGGAGTAGAGGGGCGCTCAGCTTAGCGCTCTTCCATCCATGGAAGCAGGGACCCGGGACTTGTCACCTGGGGTGGCCAGAACTGTGCTGGGTCTGGCAGTCCCAAGCACCTGGAGCTTTGGAGGGAAGAGGGGCTGGGGACTGACCTGTTGTCCCTGCTCTTCAGGAGGTGCCCAAAGATGGCTGGAGTCCTGATGAGAAGATCGCTGGCTGCAGCCCACCCTCTACACCCCCAGGTCCCCCTTCGACTCTCTTGATGGCGGTCAGGCAACTACCCAGACCACACACCCCAATTCCATGTGCCTCCAAACACCCCCGCCCCTCCAGGCCCTCAAGTTCCCAAACGTCCCCTGTCAGTCCCGACCGCACACATGGCACACAGAAGCTGCAAGCCTGTGAGTGTTCTAGTCTGCACATGCGAGCACACCCACCTGCGTGGAACAAAGACACAAAGACACCGCGCACTCCTGCAGCCTCCACCCCGCGCAGACCCGCGTGCACACCTGTGCTCCGGGGCGGAGCCTGCAGCTCTCAAAGGCAAGGCCGGAAGCAGGGTGCCATTGAGGCAGAAGGGCAGTTCCCTGGCTGAGCAGTCTGGCCAGGGCCCCTGGGCTCCCCCAAGGGCATCAGCCACTGCTCCTAACTGGCTCCCCAGCACAGCCCCTCCCTCGCTGGCTGTTCCCTCCAAGACCCAAAGCTCTGACAGGAGGTCCAGAAAGGCCTAAGGTAGCTTTGCCCTGAGCCCTCCAGCCCTCAGCCTGCTCTGCAGAGTCAGAGACTCGGCCCTCTGCATCCAGTACCGGGGTCATGCGGACACTCCCAGCCCCACCTGAGCACTGGGCTTCCCGTGCTAGTCATCTGCCTGCTCCCCCTCGGCCCGACATGCCCCCTTCTGCTCTCCAGCAGGCGCGCTGTGGCCACATGGTCGCTATGATTCAGCCCTGCCCCCTCACCTCCTCCATCCAGCCTCCATCCCACCTGCACCTCTGCGAAAAGGAAATTCCTACTCACCCTCCAAGACCCTGTTCAGATGCCCCTCTTCCAGGAAGCGCAGAAGGGCAGGGCCCTAGCTCCCCACCCCAGGCTCTCTCTATTCCAGCCCCCGCCCCCCCATTTGCAGACCTCTCCCATCTGGGAGTCGCAGAAGCAAGGAGCACCACTGTGTCCACAGCACGGCTGAGCCCAGGCAGGCGCTCGCTGTGGTTTGCTGGGCCATGAAAGCCGAGGGAGGGAGAGAGGCTGGCGTGGCCCCCCCCAGACGGGCTGGGGTTGGGCTGGGCTGGGCTGGGCTGGGCTGGACTGGGCCCCCGGCGCTTCCCTGCTCCCACCCTGAGCTGTGATCCCAGGCCTGCTGGCTGCCCACGTGACTGACCGGCCCACCCATCACACAGTGCGATTGCACTTGCCCTCCAGAGGGTTGGCAGGGCTCAGGGGTCTCTCTAGTCCACCTCTGTCCCCAGCACCTTGTCCAGCACAGACGCTCAGCAGAGGTGTGTGGAACGGGTGAGCAAGTTCACAGTCTGAATTTGGCCCTTCCCAAATCAAGGAATTAGGAAAAAACAGGGACCCCAGGGCGGAGTTCGGGAATAGAAAGCCCTAAACTCACATGCGACTTCTGTGGGAGGTGCAGACACGACGTGAGGGCGGTCAGCCAGGAACTTACCAGATTCTCCAAAGGGGTCCTCACCCCAGGAAGTACCAGGCCCTGGGTACTTCCACACAGAGAGACTGAGGTCCAGAGGGAAGCAGCCCCATTGCAAGAGCAGGCCCCACCTGGCGCCCTCACGTCTAAGATGGGCCGTCCCCCACCCCCAGGCCTTCTGCGTGCTGCCCGCCGCTCCCGCCCCACGGAGGCCCCCAAGCCCCACTCACCGAGGCTGAAGAGGATGAGGAACTTGAGGCAGACGAACTCCTGGCGGTCCAGCTGCAGCGCGAGCAGTTGCAGCACCAGCTCCTGCGCCCGCAGCACCAGGCCATGCAGCAGGGAGCCCACCTGGGCGGCCACTGTGCTCAGTTCCACCTGGGGCCGGGGGCGTGCAGGAAGCTCAGTCAGGGAATGGGAGAGGGCGCAGGTGGGTCTTCAGGCATGTTGGGCCCAGGCGCCCTGTCCCGGCCCACCCAGGCTGAGGGCACCTGGGCCGCCGACCTCCCCCATCTCGACCTGGCAGTGGAGCAGTCAACAGGCCTGTGGGTGCTGTGGGTGAGGGGGGATGTCCTGGGTGCACAGACAGTGCCCCAGGCTCAGTGGGGCGGCCACCTGCCAAGTCCCGTGGAACAGGGTTGGGGGCAAAGGATACCGAGCCATGCCCCGTGTCTACCCACACGCTCGCCTGTGACACGTGGTCACCTGCTCCATGAAGGTGCACACGCACACACCCCTGCATGTGCCCTCGGATGGCCACATGTACACAGACAGGCACGCCCGTGGATGTGTTCACATTCACCTGGTGACAGGCAGGTCTCCACACCCACGCCCCTGTGTGTGTGTGTATTTGCACAGTAAAACACAGGTGTACACACACACACACGCTGGGTATCACGTGGCCCCAGAGACAGCCCGTGTCAGCACGTACACCCCAGCCTCCCCACGTGTGCACTCACAGGTAGCCCCAAAGTATCTCCTGGGACCATGCTTCCCACCCCCCTGCGTGAGGGCCTGAGACCCCAGGGTGAGAGCAGGGTGAGGACAGAGGGCCTGGGAGTGCAGAGCCTCAGAATCTAGCCCATGCCTCGGCACCTGGCGAGACCCTGCTCCTCCTGTGTCCATCTGGGCTGGGAGTCAGCCTCCCGTCTCCTCCTCACGCACCTCCTATCACCGGCTGGGGGTCCCTGCCCTTGGTGTCCTGCCCAGGCTCCCTGCATTGAGCAACAGCAGCCGTCCCCACTTCCTTCCCACACACCATGCCCCACACCCGAATTCTGACTCGGCTCTTAGTGGCCCCTACCCAGTCACTCACTCCTCGTTCCTTCACACAAAACTCCGCTCAGGGCAGCTTAGTGGTTCCCAGTGACCCTCTCTGAGCCCTGCTCCCCTCACCCCTCCACCACCCTCCCACTGCCTGGCCACCTCTGATTCCCTTCCAGACCCAGAGCCACAGCCACCTCCTCCAAGAACCCGCCCTGCCATCCCCACCCCTGAGCTGTTCCCCAGGGGCTGGCTCCTCTCAAGGCGTTGGCCAGGTCAGAGCACAGAGGTCAGCAGTGGGGTCCCTGGGAAGGGCCGGCACTCGGGGAGCCCAGAGCCTGCAGCAGGGCCCAGCGGCGGTCACCTCCTGCCCGGTGACCAGCAGGATACTGCCCTCCTTGCCGTGCTGGATCTGGCGGTAGACGTGGTCGAACACCAGCAGCTCGCTCCAGCAGTTCTGCAGCAGCGTCATCTGGTCGGCCACCTGGGGACAGGCACGTGGGGCTCAGGGCCCTGCTGGGCTCTCCTCCCAGACCCCTCCTCCCACTCTCAACACAGGGCCTCAACCGGGTCTGCGACCGTCTACTTCATCCAAGTGCGGTCGGGGCTTGGCGACAATGAGAGGGTCTAACATGGGGCCAGCCAATGGCGTAATGGCTATGCCGCTGCACTCTCACGTGGCTGACCGCAGTTTGAGTCCCGGACCCAACAGCTTGAAACACGCCAGGCACGTGTACGCGCCTGCCCTAAATCCCAAGAGAATGGAGGAGAAGGGATTGCTATCCTCCCAGGGGTGATTTCTTGCTTTCTGTCTCTGTCTGGTGAGCACACGTGCCCTATAGCAAAAATCTCTGTCTCTTACGTGCTGTAGGACCTTGTGCAAGTCCCTTACCTTTCTGTCTCGGTCTTCCTCATCTGTGAAGTGGGCACGTCTGGCCCATGTTAAGCACGTGATACTGACAGTGAGTAACGTCCAGGGGTGCTCGGTGAAGGACGCACTCTGTCATGCTCATTTGGCCCGTGGCCACACCTCTGGCAGCCTCAGCCGCTCTGACAAGAGTCACAGAGGTGAGACACGGGAGGCTCCCTGGCCTCAGGCAGAGTTCTGAGACCCGTGCAAAGAAAGGGGCCTGGTGTGGCCTATGGTCAGGCCCAGGGGTGAGCAGGCAGGTGGCCGTGGCTGGCATCGGAAGCAGGAACAGAGCAGGGACCAGGAGCAGATCTGGAAGCCCCAGCTGCAGTCTGGGATGCCCAGCGCTGGCTGGGCAGGGGTTCCTCTGTATTTCAACCCAAGAATCACTGCTTTCCCCCTTGGCCGGGCAGGTCACTCCTGACAGTGGCAAGCCAGGGCCAGGGATCCCCTGGCTCAGACCCCTATTTCAGTTGCAAATCTGCCACCAGATGGGGACTTTCCTGGGGTCACACAGAGGCAGAGCCCGGCCAGGGCTGCGGTGCACTCCTGGCCCAGGCTCCACCACGACAACCCGAGCCCTCTGCATGTGCAGAACCACACTGGGCACTGCAGGGCGCCGCCGAAGACCCAGCGCAGCACCCACAGCTCATCTCCAGCAACTGCCGGCCCCACAGGCACCTCCTCGGCACCTTCCAGGCCTTGCCGGTGGTAAGCCAGGCTAGCTGGCAGGCAGAGTGAGGCTTTGCTGCCCACATGGTTGGCTGGTTGTTCCCCTCACTCTACTCTGGGGAGAAGGAACTGAGCTCAGAGTGGTCAAGTAACTTGCCCCAGTGCACACAGCTCGGCCTTCTCCGGATCTTTGCTCTTACTCACTAGGGGTAGGAGACCTGCCCCCTGCCTCCCGCCATCTAGGAGGTACAGTCCCTGGGAAGCTCATTTCCTGCTCCAAAAAACCTCTCCGATCCCTCCTCTTTCCTTGGCGCCCTTGGCACGCTCTGCATACGGAATCGGCATCTGAGCAGGTCCATGCCTCTGTCTTCCCCGTACTGCGAGGTCCAAGGAGGTCAGGCTGCTGTCCGATTCATCTCCAGGCCCCAGACAAGGGGCCAGCGAGTGGCTGGTGAACACACGTGCTACCCAAGACATGCACAGTGAACCCAAAGGCTGGAAGGGTCTGGGCACACTCTGGCCTGAGGGGAACTGGCCCAGGGCTGACAAAATTTCTCCTCTAGGGGTGGAAACCCCCTCCCTCCTCTTCTGGGGTGTCCCAGGGGCCTCTTCCCTCAGGGACAGAGGGAGAGACAAGGGAAAGGGGCCAAAGAGAAAAATGAGCACTGGACCCCTCCACAGTCCCTCCAGGCCTCTCCTGGCCGCCCCTGCCCCAGCCCGCAAGGAGAGAAGAGGTAGAAAGGTCTGTGTCTGTCCCTTCGTGTCCCCGGCCTCCTGTCTTCCCTCCCTACCCCTACTCTCGGGGTCAAGAGTCCACATGTCTTCCTCCCACTCTGGGCAGGACCTTCTTCTGGAAACTCAGGTATGGGGATCCTCAGACTCTGCATCCCAGTCCTGGATGAGAACAGGAGGGGCTGGATCACAGAGATCTCTCCCCTACGTCTCCTCAGGCGGTGGCTGGCCCAAGAGTGCTGGCAGGAGGCTCCAGCCCCACTCCAAGGAGGCCAGCCTCGAAGCATCTCTGCCTGGCACAGTGCCCAGCAGGTCTAGGACACCACACCCCTGCCCCGTCAGCACTCGGCCCGTATTCCAGATAAGGAGACAGGGCGGCCTAAGGGCTCTGCCAGGATACCCCCTCCTGGGCTGCCTGGGGACCCCAGAGCTGTGCGAGAGCAGGGAGGAGGTGCCTGCCCCTCGCAGCCCGAGTGGGAACACTCGAGCCCATCTCAGGTGACCCAGATGGAGGCAGGGAAGGACTTGCAGCACAGGCTCTGCCCCCCAACCCCCCTAAGCAGACACCCTCATGCCCAGCTGGAAGGGGGGAGGTGGAGCGAAGAGATAAGGGGAGTTAAGAGATAAGCAGGCCAGTTCAGGCAGAAAGCACAGGGGTCGCAATGACCTGGCTGGGCCAGCCCCGGGGCAGACGCTGTCGCTGTACCCAGATCCTGTACCCAGACCCTGAAGCGGCAGCCCTGCCCAGGCCTGATAGAGGTGGCAGGGCCAGAGGGCGGCAATATGGAAAATGCTTGCGCCCATGCCCCTGATCAAGTCCCGGCCCAGGCAGGCCTTGTTGTCCCCTCAGCTGTTCTGTGAATTAGGAGAAAGAATTCCTCCTTCCTCTGCTTAGAGAAAATGGTTGGAACCCACAGCCCACCTCAGGGCCCTGCTAATGTCCCCGGCTCTCCCGGGGTGCTCCCAGCCAGACTCCTACCCACCCCAGCCAGCCCTGCCCCCAGCTCTTCCCTTGGACAGACAGATGGATACGTAAAGACACCGAAGTCTAAAAACGCCCCCCACACGATGCATGCACACGCACACACACGTGCACACACAGAGGTATATACGCAGGCACACTCACACCTACCCCTCTCTTTATTTAAAAGAAAGCCAGAGGGCTGGGGCTGCCAGGCCCTCTCCAGGAGAAAGCAGGTGGCTAAGAGGCTCACTTAACAAAGAGGGCTGGTTTTCACCTCCCAAACATCTACGCTGAAGCTTCCTCCTCCCCTACCCTCAGGCCTCCCGGCTGCCCTGGGAACAAGGACATTGGCAGTCCTGCCTATGTCCCCCAGCCCAGCCTGTCTGCTCAGTCCCCTGGAGCCCACCCCTCCCACTGGAAGGCCACAAATCTTCCTGGAGCCTTGACACTCTGCAGCCTGCCCCAGAGATGGGGTATTTATGGGTGCTGTGCTGACCTCCCTCCCGGCAGGCCCCTGTTGGAGTTCCTGGGCCTGATCGGTCTGGCGGCCGAAGGCCAGTGGGCTCCATAATTCTTGGAAGGCTGACATGCCATGGGCTGGCCATGGCATTCTCCTGGCCGAGCGGCTGACCGGCCATCGTTTGTCACCCCAGGAGTGACAGAGTTCCTGCCGCTTATATGTAACCATATATCTGGGCAGTTAGATCTGGTGCCATTGGCCTCGGAACAGGGCGCTGAGGGTAAACGGGTGTTGAGATGGGTCACAGGCAGCCTCAGCTGTCCTCCCCGGATCCCTGTCCTTCACGTGAATGTCCACACAGGCAGGCTGCCTACCTGGGCTCTGCACATGGCCCCACCCCAGGGGACAGCAGGCAAAGGTGAGCCCCTGCTACCTTGCAGGTAAGAAGTTCCTTTCTGGTGGACCAGCAGTTGGCATAATGGCTATGTTGCTGGACTCCCATGCAGTCGACCGCGGTTTGAGTCCCAGACCCGGTGACTTAAACTCACACCAGGTGTGTGTGCATTCATGCCCAAGATCCCGAGAGGAGAGGGGATTGCGGCGTGGCCATCCCCCCTGGGGGGCGATTTCTCGCTTTCTGTCTGTCTCTGTCTTTCTGATGAGCACACACACCCTATAGGAAAAACCTTCCCAAAAATAAAAAAATAAAAAGAAGAAGTTGCTTTCTAAGCCCAGAGCAAAGTGGACCCCCCATCTGGTGCCAGAAGTAAGGTGCGTTCAGGGGAGCCCAGTTACAGAGGACGTTGCCCTGGCCAGGCTGTTCACAGGTGAAGTTCAGTGCAGCCGGGAGCAGAGGGAGGAGTCGCTGCCCCTTGTGCTGAGCCTGTGTGGCCCTAGAATAAATCTTTTCTTTTTTATGATAGAATATGTGCACGTGCATGGGGAGGGGCGGGGGCTCAAGAGGGTCTCATCATGCTGCGATCCCCTTTCCCCGGTCCCACCCCGAGATCCTCAGGACCTTGGCCGCCCACACACGTCCCGGTGTGTTTCAGGTCCATCCGGGGATCCGAACCCATGGTTGGCCACGGGGCCCCCAGCATGGCAGTCCAGTAGCTGTCAGGCTGTGCCACCAGGCTGGGCCCTGGGCTCAGTTCCTCTTCTCTCCTAGCCCACTGATCCCTTACCGCCACCCTAGGGGCCATATTATCTGAACTCCTCCCACCGTGCGGATGAGGACAGAGGCCCAGAGGGGCACAGCCAGTTGCCCAAAGTCGCCCAGATGATAAGTGGCAGAGCTGGAACCTGAACGCCGCAGGCTTCTCTGGTTCTGCCCCCTGCAGTTAACTCTGGGCCACGGTCAGGTCTAACGTGCCATGGCCGTGTGAGGTGGACAAACCAACACAGAGGGACGGCCACCCAAGCTGGGGCAGAGGATGGAGGAGAGCTCAGGAGGACACCTGCAGCCCAAGGTCAGACACGCCTGGGCTCCCCGCCTCCTTGGCTGCTCAGCTGAGACTGGCCTTCCTCTGAGCGGCAGGCTAGATTCACATCATGAGGCTGTGGGCCTCAGTCTGGGACAGCCCAGACTCTGTGTGGGGGCCTCTACTGGCCCAGGGTGTGGCGCCCCAGGCAGCCCTGACAGGCTGTCCACCGCCCACTGCCAAAGGACCCTCCAACCCTGTCACCAACCCCACTGCCCTCCCCAGTCTGCCCCTAGGACCACCTGAAACTCCCTGAACGTACAAGGCTTTTTCACATGTCTGGGCCTTTACCGATGCTGTTCCCACCGCCTGGAATGCCTGTAACCTTCCCTGGATGCCTTTTGGAAAGGCACAGAGCAAGACCCCCTTCTTGACCTCCTTAGTTAAGGCCGTGTGCTCTCCCAGGCTCCCTCTGTCCCCTGCCACTGCTCTCACATCCTGGCGCCAGCACTGGCACCATCTTTGTGCATCTGTGTCTTTAGCCTGGCAACCTCCTGGCTCCAATTTGTTGCAGTGTCCCCAGCCCAGTTGAGCCCAGAGCCCGGCCTGGTGGCATAGGCTGACAGCTACTGGACTACCATGCTGGAGGCCACATGGCCAACCATGGGTTCAGATCCCAGGTGGACCTGAAAACGTGCTGGGCACATGTATGGGCAGCCAGGATCTGAGGATCTGCCCGACTCTCAGAGCCAGCTCTGTCTGCTACGATGTGTCCTGCCTTGAAGTGGGGGTTGGACGGTCAATCAAGAAGGACAGCACCACTCAGACCCCTTCCGCCTTCCCGCCTCCTTCTCTGGGCTTGGCTAACACACACAGGCCCAGGCTCACTGGGCCAGTGAGAAAGAATTCCACAGGCTGGTCAGAACCGGGCTGGTGCTTATCTGCAAGGCCCTGTACAGAGTTTGGTGGGGCTCTGGCTAGATTCAGAGATGCTGGGAAGGGAAGCCTGAAGGTTTGGACCACAGAGAAGCCAGAAGCAGGAAAAAACACTCAGTGAAACTGGAACAAAAGTCCTTCTCGTCCTGTGTGAAAACCCCCCAGGAGACTAGAACTGCGGCCAGAGGAAGTGCCCTGCCCCTGGATCCAGGGGTCTGGGAGGCTTGGAGTGCTCTGCTCCCCTCCCCTCTGTGAGGGGGCTCACTGAAGTCTGGCAGCAGCTGGCAACCAACACCAGAGTCCCCAGATCCTTGTCCCCAGGGCTCCAGGCCTGGCTAAGAAGCAGATGGGAGTGTCCAAGACCCTTCCTCTGGCCTTACTCCTTGGTCAGCCCAGAGAGGGGCAGGGGCGGGAAGCCCACCCCGTGACAGGTACAGGCCCGGCCCCAGGTCCCAGCCACGTTGGGCCCCCTCAGAAGCAGGGTCTGTCACCACCAGTTCCTGACTCCTGAAGTAACCAAGGCTCCCAGTCCCCAGGACACAGTGCCCACCCCGCACCTCACCACTCCCCATGCCAGCCAGGGCGGGCTGTGCCCCTGGCCCATCCGGCCACATGGTCCTAGAGGAAGCCCAGGCCTAGTGGCGTCAGCACCGACAATGCCGGTCAAGGCTGAAGTACAACGGCCCGCGGCAGGCGCTGTTCACAGTCGGCCCAGGACAGCCAGGGGCCTGGGAAAGGCGACCACTGAGCAGCCTGGGCCAGGGCTACCCCTTCCAGACCAGCGAGGGATGAGCTTTGGCCAGGCAACAGGCGCCTCTGGGCAGGCTCGCAGGGTGCCAGGGTGCCAGAGAGGGGGCCTTCAAACCACCAGGCAGGCCGCTTGGCAGTGCTGCCCTATGTCTAGCCTCAGCTTCTCCTGCTGCTTCCTTTAGCCCCAGGGGGAAAGAAGGCTCCATGGCAGAGAAAGACTACCTCATCTGGGACCTACAGCAAGCCCTGGAACACCAACTCCCCTGCCCAGCTGGTCCTGTGTCACATTTGTAGACTACCTCATCTGGGACCTACAGCAAGCCCCGGAACACCAACTCCCCCGCCCAGCTGACCCTGTGTCACATTTGCGCATGCACGTGTGAGCACACACACACACGCACACACGCACACGCACGGGAGATGCAGAACCGTGAGCGTTTTCGTCTTGGCTGGGAAGGAGAAGGGTCCACGGGACACTAAGAGCCGCATCTATGACACCTGAGGCTAGGGGACCGGTGGTCCCCTGAACGAGAGGACAGGATGAGGTGCACCCTCTTCCTAACGCTGGGCTGGGGCCCTGGGACAAGACAGGCTTCCAAGGACTCAGCTCGTCCTCTGAGGGAGCCCAGGGTCTCAAAGAGAGAAATGCCCCCAGGGACACAGACAGGGGAGAAACAGGCTGCAGGGGAGATAGGAGAGCAGAGACGCACCACGCCAGGGAGGAGAGAGACAGAGACAGAGACAGAGACAGGCAGAAACAGAGACAGGATACCCTGTGGCCCTGAGAGAGACTAAAGACGTAAAGGAAAGGAGGGGTGCAAGGGCGGCGGAGACCCTTTCCCCAGACCTGAGGCCGGTGGGCAGGTGGCCCGGACAAGGGGTGGCTGAGGCTGAGGCTCGGGCAGCTGGGGGCACCTGGTGGCCAGCTGGAGGGGAGAAGGGACTCACCTCCAGCTCCTTGAAGACCATGCAGCGGCGGGCCCAGTCCACGATGGAGATGAAGGTCTGGTCAGCCATCCTGCACAGGAGGCTGAAGGGTGCGGGCTGGTCGGGGCGGCCCTTGGCCGGCTCCTGCAGGCAGCCGCCGAAGCAGCCATAGGGTGGCCCAGGCTGTGGGGGGCTGGCATAGGGCTCCGGGTACTCAGACTTGATGGCACGGCCAGGGAAGGCAGGATAGAGGTAGCCGGCCAGTGGCCCGTGGGCACTGGGCACAGCCATGGGCAGTGTTGGGGCCCCAAAGTCGCCTAGTGGCCCGCCAGGTGGACCCGAGGCCAGGCCCTTGGGCTCAGGTGCATGCAGGCCTGGGGGCAGCATGTAGTCCGGCGGGGGTGGGGGTGGTGGGGGCACCCCCATTGGGGGGCCTGTCTCCAGCTTGAAGCCATTGGCTCGAATCTGTGCCTTCTTCTGCTGCTTCAGGGCCCGGTCCCGCTTGTACATGGGCCCGAACTTGTTCCGGCCACCCCGCATGCGGTCAGCACGTACAGCTGCGGGCAGGGACAGAGGGTCAGGCTCCCCCCTACACCACCACCCCCATGTTGCCCTGCCACAGATCCTTCCTAAGCAGATCTGATGGGGTACTCCCCGCTCCATGGCTTCGATCAGTCCCACTGCTCACAGGCAGTCAGTCTCCTTGGCCTGGCATTCAAGGCCCTGCTCAATCTTCTAGGTTATTGTCCACGAGACCCCTGTCCCCTCACTCCACCTTACCACTCTTCTCCTTCCCCCTCCATGCCTTGGGTATTCCTTCTGCTTCCAGCCCGTTTATTTCTCTCATGCTTTTGAACACCCAAGCTCCATGTCACCACCTCCAGGAAGTATTCTTGGATGGTCTAGAAAGAATCTGTCTTTCCCCAGAAGCCCTGCCCCTTGTCTGTTCTATGCTGAGTGGGTCCTGCCATGTGCCCTGGCTGAGAGCTCCTGGGGGCTCAGCACTGTTAGGTGCCCAGCACAGGACCTGGCGGGAAGGGGCCCTGGGCAGCCTCATGCCCAGCTGGGTCCTCAGTGACCAGCTGCTTACTGAATGACCACCCAGCTCTGCTGAGCCCCTTCTGCAAAAAGACTGGGACTTCCCTCACCAGTTTTTTTTTTTAATGTTTTTTTAAAAATTAATTAATTAATTAATTAATTTTTGACAAGTTTTTGCTATAGGGCGTGTGCGCTCGCCAGAAAGACAGAGAGAGACAGCAAGAAATCACTCCCCAGGGGGGATGGCCATGCTGCAATCCCTTCTCCTACATTCTCCTCTCAGGGTCTTGGGCATGCACTCACACGCGCCTGGCATGAGTTAAGCCACCGAGTTCGGGACTCGAACCGTTCTGAAGCTCACTGTAGGGCTGGCCAAGGCTCTGTGCTCTGGAGAGGGGACTCTCTTGCTGACCTGTTCCTCTACCTGGCCAAGGAAGGGTCACCAGCTGAACCCAACAGACGCAGTTCTGCTGCTGTAGTGTGGCCCCAGTCCCTGCTCAGACAATGCCCACCCTGGGCTTTAGGAGGAGGGAGAGAGCAGGAGAGAGAGGGTGGCGCTAGTGAGGGATGGTGGCTTGGGCCCCGCCCCCTCCCTGGCCACTCTTCCTGCCACCTGGGGGACAGCTCTGATCCACTTAGCCACAGCCTGGGTTTCTGCTGGCCCCTCAAGCCCAAGAGCTAGGGATGTGGGCTCTGAGGATGGGATAGGCTGCACCCCTCCCACCCAGGGTCCCTCCGCTAGGCAGCAGCAATCAGAGCCACTCGGGCCTTCTATGTGGTTAGAAAGCTTTACCAATAGCTGCCGGCTTGGCCTGGCTGGGTCACACCCCCGCTGGGGCCAGTGGGCAGAAGCCTAGCACTGTCCACTCTCTAGGAGGCCTCAGCTGGGCTGGGAGCTGGGGAGGCAAAGGTGGGCCTGAGTTCTCTGGAAGCAACTGTCCCCACTCTGCAGCCCTCCCAGGGCCTGGTTAAGAGCACGACGGGAAAGAATCTCACTCCCTGAGCAGAGGAGCTTCCGGAGCACTTGGGGTGTATGGGCAGACAGACTGGATGGGTGGGTGGCAGGACAGTGGACACATGCCAACAGCAAGTCTGATCAACGGTCCCAATGGTGGCTAACCCGCTGAGTGGCCACTGTGTCCCAGGCACCCCAGGTTCTCCCTGTACCCTCTCAGTCCTCACTAACCCACCAAGAAAGGCACTGCCATTGCACCCACTTCCCAGATGGGGCATCTGCAGCTTGAGGGTAAGGAACTAGCCAGCGTCACCCATCCTGTAAGCGGTGGCTCTGGGACTCGGACACCCACAAGGGCCTGGAAAGCCTTGGCTCTGGCTGGCGTTGGGTGTCAGTGGGGGTGAGTGGGGACCCCTCCTGGGGCTCTGCCTAGGCTGGCGTCCTGTCAGGGGCTGGGGACAGGCTCTGCTGTCCTCGGGTTCACCTTCCGAAAAGTCTCCACCCAATCCAGGCTCCTCCGCAAGTGTCTCCTTCCCCAGGTCCAGGCTCGGGGAACCAACTGTCAGCCAGGAGCCAATGGCTGGCCCCAGAAACACTGAGGGGGCCAGTGGCGCCCTCCCCGCAGCCCCTCCCGGCACCCTCTCCCTCCTCCCGTCAGAGGTCAGGGCTCGGAGGCCAGCGCACCTTCCAGGCGCATCCCCACCGTCAGGCACTTCTGGAAGCGGCAGAAGGGACAGCGCTTGCGCTGCGTCTTGTCGATCTTGCAGCTCTGGCTCTCGGTGCACGTGTAGTGCTTGTTGTTCTGCACCGTGCGCTTGAAGAAGCCCTGCGGGAGCCGGGCGTCAGCGCTGCCGCCCCGCGCCCGCCCCGCGTCCGCGCCCGCCGGCGCTCACCTTGCAGCTCTCACACGTCAGCAGCCCGTAGTGGTAGCCGGACACCTTGTCCCCACACACCGGGCACAGCTCGTCCAGGTCCTCGTCGTACGAATAGTCCATGCCCGCGCCGTCCGCCTGCGGAGGGAGGCGTGGGTCACCGCGGGTCGCAGGCCACTGGCTGCCGGGCAGACCCGGCTGGGCGGGTCCGCAGCCCCCAGCGTGGCCGCGGTGCCCTCTTCGTGGCCTGTCGCGTGGCTCCCCTGGCAGCGCTCCGCCGGGTCCGGGCGCCCGTGCAGCCCCGCCGCCCGGCCTTCCCCGACCCTTCCCCGACCCGCTCCCGGCGATCCCGCCGCCCCCGAGGCTCCTCCCTCCCTGCTCTGGCCCAGCCTGAGCCGGGACCCTCGGATTCGATGCGCTTCCATCCGAATTCGTTTGTCTGAGAACAAAACCCCGATCCTGAGAAAAGGAGACGCGCTCGGCTGGGAAGGAGACGCCAATAAGCCCGGGCGGAGTGGGGCGTGGGACCGTGTTCCAGGGACAGAGACGGAGGAGACAGAGACGGGCTGGACAGGCAGAGATGGCTGGAACGAGAGCCCCCGACCGCAGCTGCTCAACGGAGCGGGAACCCCAGGGCGACAGACACAGCACAAACCCGCTGACGCCGAGTCCGAGAGAACCCGGGGAGACGGAAATAGGGAGAGATCGAGAGAAACAGAGAGAGACACAGACAGAGCGAGACCTGATCAGAGACACCGAGAGGCCCAAAGAGAAATCCCGGGCGAGACAGACGCAGAGTCAGAGACACCCGGGTATACAAGAGACAGACCGAGACACCAAGAGACGAGAGAAACCCGGCGAGACCGAGGCAGTGACAGAGACTGAGAGGAAACCTGGAGAGACGGATGCTCCAGCACGAGGGTCGGGGACCGGGAGACGCGCAGAAAACGGCGGCCCGGAGCCGGAGCTCCAAGGCGTGGCCCCGAAGAGTCGGATC